ACCCATTGAATGCATGTGTATTCAAGCCAACATGGTACTTATAGAGCAAAAGTGTTAAAGCTACATTTATATCAAAAGTCACATATTTAACACCTTGATCAATCCCGGTAAAACAGTCTTATCATATGAAATACTCGTTTTTTTGTATTCTGGTCGCTATGCAGAATTGTAATGGATTCCATCAAATGATTCACAATGCCGTTTTCACGACGGACTGCGGTGTTTTTTATCGAAAGCTTTCAGCGTGTTTTTCCAACCACACACCTTTTATCAACGATTTTCGGCTAGAAATGGCCTGAGGAGATTTAAAAACACATTTATAACTACGCTTGGTTTGATATAATTACAGTTAGCCGGCTTTGAGGAAGATAAGACTTTTATGGATTGGTGTGATGCCAGATCTCTTCCTACCAAACTTTTTCAGAGCTTTTTAAATACATTTAGTGGCATCTCTGATGGGGACGCGACAAAGTACACCCCTGTATCATTGCAGTGCCCCTGTTCATAGGTATGCAACACTTACAGAGCTTACTTACAGTGCTTCCAGAACTTGCCTCTAGTACATACAGAGCTTACGAGGCTGGCATACCCTAACACGATCCAATCCGAGATAAATGATCCGAAATGATTGATCCTTGAGTGAAAGGATCCTCAAAGCCCGTCTTTCTGTGCACAGCACCGATATAAACAATGATGACGCGGCAACCATCCAACGCCCTCATGCAATCGACTTTGCTGATTGTCAGGCCTAGTATTTTCCTAGAATTTGGGTGAAATAGGCATGGTCTGAAGAAATGTTTTTGAAGAATCTCACCTAATACAACTATTTTTTAGCTGGATGCACGTAGCTTACTTATTGCATATTTAAAGAATTGCATGAAAAGAACGTTTCCCATGTCAGCGTATCAAGTGTCTACCTAAAATTGAAAGAAGCATTTAAAAAGGCTTCTTAAAAGCTTTTCAGTGCGTTTTTTCATTGTAAATACAACTGACCGCCCTTTTCACAGCGGATTACAGTGCAAAATATTTTTAAAAAGCTTTGTAAAAAGTTTTCATGTTTTATTTTCAATGTACACAACTTTTATCAGCGATTCTTGGCTACTGCGGTTGAGTGGCTTTAAGCAAGAGCATGCTTTGCGGCCATGCACGATGGCAGAGCTCTTCTTAACGAATCTTTAATAAAAAGTTCGTTAGCATGTCTGAGGTAGAGCGACAAAACGAACTCACATATCCTGGTCGCGTCCCTGTTGATAGGCATGCAGTGCGTACAGAATTTGCGTACCTCCACGATAAATCAATCTCGAATTAAATGCTCCTCAAAGCCTGCCTCGCTCCACTCCACACGTATATAAACATCAATGGCGCAGTCACTATCCAACGCCCAGGATGGATCCACGTGAATGATTGCCAAACCCGGCATTCTCCTGGACGTTGAGTTAACTAAAGGTATGGATAAAGTAAACATGTCTTTAAATAATCCATTTTCTCAACCTCAGTTGAAAGCACCTGGCGTAGCATCGGATTTCAATGAAATTGCGGCAAACAATCATTTCTCTGTCAAAGTGCTTCGCATTCGCTGAAATCTCTGGAAACGCTTTGAAGCTTGTTTTTAAAAGTTTCCAACGCATTCACCTGTCTGAAATGGGCCGATATGTCTTAAGACATTACTGAGAAAAGCTTCGTACCGCATTTATTTGTGAGACATTTCTTTGTACGTAAACGTGCATTAAACCCTCATCACATTTACATATTCATACCGCATTGCTTTGTATGCAGATCTTCGTACTGGAACTTCTGTTCTCAGATATTCATATTGAAACCTTTGTAGGCAAGCCTGCGTAAACAAATATTTGCATTGTAAATTCTCGCCAAAATATCCCAAATATTTGTACGCAAATATTCGCATCGGCGAAGTTGCGTACCCAAAAAATGCATTCGGAAAGCTTCATGTACGCAAACTTTTGCACACAAATATTTTCATCCGCAAAACTTTATTCCCGCAGATCTTCGTATTCGCAGGAATTCGAGTACGCAAGTCTTCGTATCGCATTTATTCGTACCACATGTTTCGGTTACCACTGGGACCCTCAGACTCCTGGACTTGAGTTACGATGCATTCAGCGTCTGAAAAGTATAGACCGTGGTTGCAGTAGAGGCAGTGCGACGTCAGAACCAAACGTACCCAAATAAGAAAAGGTCCTAGAAAGTGCATGTCCAAACCCTTCTTTAATGCTTATTCTATCTGTACACCACCATGTGATTTATGTTGGTCTTTCAAAGAAGTAAGTTGTGAACATTCACTAGCTTCACATTTTTGAATACCGATGACGATGTCTGGGTGCCGTCGCCACGCCAGGACGAGCACACTGACATGCCACCACGCTACTACTGCTATAACATTTGTTCTGCTCACTGCATCTAATCATGCTCACGTCAGTCCCCGCTGCTACTGCTGCTCGTGTTCTTTGCGCACGAGCAATACGCGTCGTCCATTTTTCTGCAACATTCATGTAAGAAGTCGTCACCTGCTTTCCCAAGGTGGATTGGTCTGCCAGTTTTTCCTAATCTTGACTGAGCGAGAGCTTGGCTGACGCATCTATGTATGCGTTCTATAGGTCTTAGAATAAGCTTATTTAGGTAATCGAATGATTGTGGTAGACCAAGTGATAAACCAATATCGAAATTAAAAGAACCCGCACTTCTCAAGTTTCTGATCTGACTTGACCTGACCTTGGCCGCGAAGAACGTCAAGGTTGCATGTAATGCATGGTAGTCATTTTGGTAATGATGGTTGTGTGGCCGAATGCATAACCAAAATAAACCACTTAATCCAAAACCACTTGGTGTGTAACCAAAACCACTATTATATATAAACCACTACCTATCTTGGAGTCTAAAAATCCGATCAGAGGAATGTAAAGTACAATTAAAATCGACTGGTGATTTCACTCAGCGAAACACTACGCTGATTTCGTTCACAAAATCTTTAAAAATGCGAACGCTTGAGTTCTCTTTAATCCTATTACGCTCTTTTAAACATGGGGACCGATGATTGTGAAAGTTTACTTATCGTCAAACAAAAGCATTCCCTTGTGTCGGAAACGTACCACAGATCAGATTCGTGGAATACGGCCAATTAGGATAGTTGTTACTTGACATCCACTTTCTTAAGTCACATAAAGGATTGACTCGTCAAAGGCGGCACAAGCAATTGTGAAAATACAGTTATTATATCACTTTGCATTTGTTGTTTCGGCGACGTGGCTGTTTATGCACGGATCGAGAAAGATGTGGTTGGTGTGGTGACGACCAAAGGCGTTTCTTGACAATTAGCCAAATTCGGTTTTTGCATGTCTGTTTTATCATGCAGTTTTTTGTCAGCATCTTGAACACTTGCGTATGTGGTAGAACTAGCCATGGTGGGCGCGTGGTTAGGCCATTTCACAGCTTACTACTGCGAATACCAGTGGGAAAAGGCTACCGAAACTTTAAGGTGTTGCGTTCGTCATTTTCCGTGGCCTCAGAAATACCGTTTGGGGTGACACCCATCTCTGCCGGGTGCAGATCAATGCCCACGTGACCGCGGGCTTTTATGTTGTGAAATTACACAAAGTTGTCTTTTCCAGAGGTCTAGAAAAGCGCGGTAGCTGAGAATGCAACAAAAAGTGAAAATCACATTGTTGCAGAACAAAAACCAAGAACGCCACGGGAAAGCACCAAAACGAATGCACATACCGATAAGCTTACTCATTAAAACACCAACCCCATCATGTGACAAAGTGTCACGAATAAGTCCGCCGTCCACTGCAGTGGCAATTCTTGCACAATCAATCTGGCAGCGACTCTGACTTCATAAAAACCTTTCCATGACGTTATTAAGCGACGACCTAGAGAGGAGCAGATCTGTCAAATGTTGAAGTTGTGTGATTGAGAGCAATATTTGCACTTAAAAGCACACCAAGAACTACAAGTGAACTTTTTATCATTATTATACTTATATCAATATCTTCAACTGTGAAACACTCCCCTTTTCCCTCATCCTGGTGTACCGTTTCTAATAACTCGGACAGATAGAAGGGCTGATGTGAGTCCTTGCCCTTTTCAAACTAAGAAAGATAAAGCCTTGCCAAAAAGACCTGGAAGTTGATGCCAATATTGTCTCGCGATTAATGAAACGTTTATGCTGCTATAAAAATAAGTTATTCTACTAAGCAAAGTCACGGATGATTTTCCTGAACATCGGACAATTTCAGCTTTACCTGCAATGTTATTTCGATTCTGTACGGCTTCATTTACCATGCATTCAAAGCGGGACTAAAACTATTGCACATTTGAGACATCTCAACGGGATTTTATGCGTGTTTTTGTGTCTTAAGTCATCATCGGTCATGGTTAAAAGGTGGTTATGAATACGTTTTTATTGTTTTCTGCCGCCATTCTAGTATATATATATATATATATATATATATATATATATACGCACATACTATTGCACAAACTTTTATGGTGGCTATTGTGACAAGTTAACCTATTCCTAGCATCAGGGTGCTGCGACCCATGCTTGTCTTGTCCGATGAACTCTACTTATGTACTTAAGCCAGCCACCTATGAATTCTCAAATGAGCTTTTCGCATTCGGACTAGCTTGTCGGGTGGGGTTGACAACCTCTCACTTCTTGTCCAAAATCGTGTAGCCTGGCATGACCTATGCCGTCATAATTTATATTGATGTCATCAGCCTTGTGTTTCCTGGGCTGTAAAACACAGGGCAATTGACCTCAAGCTTTATCCACAAAATGAACATTTGCCTCCTGAACTAAAATAAGGAACTACCTTCTCCTGTCCTCCGCCCCGCGATCTGCCAATAGCTGCATGTTCGACTCGAATATCTATGGCTGAAAGTAGCTGATTGGAGAAGTTCTAAGCCTTCAGCACTTCCAAAACCGTGTATGCTGTTCGCGCAGGAAGCCGTCACAGCGCGGACGTTGTTTGCCGTTGCAGACGCGTCGGGCGAAGACCTGGTGGTCGATGTCGGCAAGTGCCGGCGGCACTGCCACCACATCGGGGGCCTTTCCAGGAAAGAGTTCCTCCAGCTTTTGGAGGAGCACAGCGACACTGATCCCATCCAGGTGGGTGACGGGCGGTGCCAGGAACGCCGGTAAGGTGACAGCCGAACGACTGTGACGCCAGCCCACGATGGCCGGCCGCCGACTGTGCTGTCCGTACCAACCCGTGCCGGGCTGGTGATGTCACGACACTCCCTAAATGGCTTCACATGCTCACAATGCTGTTCAGCCGTCGAATGCTTTCACTATGAGGTGAGCTGTAGCCCTGCCAAAAAACACACACAAATAGGCAATGTGGCTACCAGACGCAGCGCGGCAGGCTGTGCCCGTAGGTGGGCAACATCAGAATGACAGCCCCCACCAGCTGCCGTCAGTCATGCTTCACGCCCGCCTGTGTCTTGCCGCAGCTGTACCGGCGGCTTCAGCAGCGTCAGTCCTCGTGCCGGCTGGCCAGCCACTGCCAGCCATTGGAGACGGCCATGCAGCGGCACTATACACTGGAAGGCGCCGTGACCAGCGAGGTGACGCGCCGGTGCGGCTGCGTGCGCCGGCCGGCCGGCTGCCGCCGCCGCCGCCGCCTGGTCACCTTCCACCCGGGCACGCCTCACGAGCGCACGCTGGACGTGGGCGGGTGCGCCGGCCACTGCCCCGGCGTCGGTGAGTGACGCGCGTCCCGGATCTGCGGCCCCGCTTATGGGCCGGCCGCCGCCGGAAACGAGGCGCCATCGCTCACCGTCTCTGCTGCGTGACGTCACCCATCGGCGCCGCCGGCCCGCGCCTCGGCTGAGCGTTGCGGGGCTGACGCAGTGGCGATGCCGATCACGTCGGGTGGCTGATAGCTCTGCCGGGGTCGCCGCAGAGAACATCTCATGCCACTTACAGTGTTCGGGGGCCGGGCAAAGGAATGTCTGATCCCCTCGATTAACTAATCGGAGTCGGATAATTGTATTGCAAGGCTTCGTACTCGTTCTGCATGTGTTGAGTCAAGGACCCTGTGGGTCTAATGGTGCCAGATTGGATAATTTGTTAATGAGAAAGCCAGCCGGCATGTTAAACAAAATAATTATCGGCCAGGAAAAGACGACTCTCGCAGGCCAGCCAGGCGAATGTTGTTTACCAACATTCCTTGATAAAAATATGGCTATCTACTCATGCCTTCTTTCAAAACCGCACAAATTTTGGCCAATTGGTCTTTTCGTTCACCTGGCAGGCCTGGTAATAAGTCTCATTACCTTTGGTCACGATTCGTAGAGGTTTTTCCCGTGTGTTCGTAGCAGCTGTCATGATAAAGTCAGTGCACGCAGTCATATGCAAACCGCAAATTATGAGACTAAAGCCAGGTCATGGCCAGCCAATACTGGCCATCGAGGCGTTTTATGGACACTCGTGCTGCTGATACCTGGATTTGCATATAGAGCCGAAAATTAAAATATCTGATTGCGAAGGTGTGTAACTTAATAGTTGCTTCTATCTCATGCTCTCTTTTTGTTTCTATCTCATTATCATCCCACGCTTTGAGCGTTTGGGTGAAATCTTCTTGTGCAGCAGTATTCAGTGGCCCGATGTAAAAGGGATCGGGCACCTGCACACTAGCTGAATGTTGACAACGCCACGATATGCCCTCCCCATTCGTTGGGCATGTTGACTTCTGTTAGTAGTGTCCACTTCACTTTACCAGTGTATCAGCCCTCGTCACTTTATCACTATCAGTAAAGTTTTGGGCTAAGCGCGGACGAATTGGCAAACGGGCGTCACATAGTATCACCGACATTGTAGCCTTTAAGTCTGTACTATTACGGGCGAAGAAAAGTACAAAGGTGGCATAATTGTGCCTGGGTTTGCCCGCGAGGTTTAGAACCGCGTTTGGAATTCAGGATGTTTTACCCGCTCTTGGAACGACAAAAATAAGAACGCGATGTAGCAAGCGCAAACCCTTGAGCAACTGCAGTGCTTAAATAGCAGCATAAACTGTGGGACAAATGGCTGAAAATGCGTTGAATGTAAGCCACCGAAATGTACGCGCCTCACTGCTTCTTTCTTTCAGATGACAGCTGTCAACCTTTGCGGAACAAAACAGTGTCAATCGATGGGCCAAATGGTGAGAGGAATCCTGCGCCTGAGATGTTTTGGAAGTCACTTTGTGCCTCGTTGTGGTCACTTCATGGCACTTCCACTTTAGCTTTAACGCCTTGGTTTTATCGTATTTCATATTTCTCTGGCGCCAACTTTTTCATTACTTGCACATCAGAATGTACTGTGATTATTGATATTGTGATATTATTGTTGTGGGAATTAATTTACTTACAGCAAGGCAAGATGTGACCTCGCCAGTGTAATAACATCTAAAGGTAATAATGCGCCTTGAATTATTTGCAGGAAAACATCTGAGTCTCAGCTTTCAAGTGGCTGTTTCATACAACTAAGTGTTTGGTAGCGGCCCATATCCTTTGCGGGCTTAAACGATATGTCTAATCCAAGACTGTACGGCAAAGTAGCTCGCTCGCATCATTGCTGTCCGTCATGAATAAATTGGCAAGAAGCAGTCTTAGCAAAAAACAAAATGTTTTACCAGCGGTTTTGTGTGATATTTCTTTGAGATCTGTGTAGCCGCGAACGCCCAGCAGTAAACGTGCGCTGCATTAAATATTTGCCAGACAGCATGTTTTTTGTCACCAAAGGCCCGAAAGGAATTTCACACAGCATCTTAATATTCCCAACTTTTCTCGCATATCAAGTAAAAATTAATACATTTTCGAGAAAAGTGCGAAAACATTGCAGAACAAATTTGAAATAGTTTGTTCATGTAACAAAGTTCAGTAAGATGGGAGCGGTCTGCTATTATACCAGACCACCTGTCTCCAAATGTTTTGTGACAACCGTAAGCTAGAGCTCTGATTGAGCACGTCCGAGAACATTACAATTTCAAATGACAGATCAAGAAAGTTCTTGGTAAGGGATTTGATACCGCTCGCTTTGAGCCCGAGTCAGTCACGCTGTTTTACAGACGGACCTGCACAGCTACGCTTCTGCATAAAAGTGATCAGGCTTCGTTTTAACACTTTAAGGCTTACAAGGTTTCATTCTGATGCATAATACAATACAATGATGTTTTCAGGCGCGGAAGTTGTATCCGCCATTGAGGAGTGCATCTGTACTCACGGATGTTACCGGATGTCGTTGATGGAGCAAGTGTACGACTATACTGATTCCACAGCTGCTCCCAGAATCAAGGTACATTCCAAGCACTGGCTTAAAGCCAGTGAGCACCTAAGTATTGTACTTTGCGTGAAGATTACGATGCGCAGCGAAGGCGAGCACAAATGTGCCGCGGACTGGTGCCACATGATTTCCTCGGCCCACAGTCCAGTTGATCACCAAAATGACTGCGATCTGGCTGTCCCGGACACCTGAATCTCTTGAAGAAAAAAAAAACGCTCAACAGCCCGTAACTTATGTCCCAGACATTGCCACACACGACGCGCGGCCTGCGTTTGCTCCCCATCAACATACGCGCCTGTTGCACGCGCCGCCCGATCGTCTGAACGATAGCACCGGCACAGCAGCCGCCCGACGAACAATGCGTCGCATCGCGCCGTGCCGACGCCGCCTGTGAGCGAGGTGGCGCCGCGGCCCGCGCCAGGGCGCCGCCAGGACGAGTCAACAGCGGGCTCCTCTGCCTCCTGTTGCAGGAGGTCGACGTCGGCCAGTGCGTGGGAGCCTGCACGCCGGACCAAATGGGTCGCGACTGCGTCTGGAGGTGAGGCTATCCCCTATCTCAGTCCGGGATCGGGCCACCAGCCCAGACGCCAGGCGAACAGCACGAGACCCTCTCCGCATATGCATTCGCCTTCACCGGCGCCAGGGAGATGGCGCCGACTGGCTTGTCATCGGTGTGACTGTGGCGCCGGTCTAATCAAACGCCGTTGCGCAGACTCGCTTGCTGAAACCCTTTCAGCTACTCTTTAAAGTCATATCCTGCAGTGCCACAGCCTACAGCTCAATGGGATGAAATAGATGGGATATCGGTGTGCCAGATACAAACGCACCTGAAGTTCTTTGCACCGATTGTAAATCCGCACAGGGACCCCATATTCCGGATTTGCCTAACGCGCGGAAACCCTCGCGTTGTTGGCTGCCGCTGCTGCAGGCATGCAGTCTCCGGGGTTGCCTTGTGCCGCGTCGCAGTCTCCGGCGCTGTTCTGCGCTCGGTGATGGTCTGGTGGGCTGGGCGGCTAGGATGGTGGCCGCCGCCGCTGCCGCGTTTCCGGCTGGTTATGAGGCCTGTCGAGCATCGGAGGAGCCGATTCATTACCATTCGACATGCCGAGGGAGCCCACGAGGCGCGGGGAGTGGCCGGGCGGTGATCGGTGCCGTTTTGCTGGCTAATAAATAGCCGTGTTTCAGCCGCAGCTGCGGCCGTTTAATTTGTGAGCAGATGTAATGAGCGGTGACCCCGGTGAACCCAGGAGCGGCCGACAGGCAGTCGCGCGTCAGCGCGGCACTGCTCTGTGACGGCGGCCGGAAACATCAGTCAGGCGACGGGCCCGTGGGCGGCCTGTCATACCGCTCATGGAAATGGCGTGCTAGTCATCGCTCCCAAGGTGGCTGGGCGTACTAATATTGGGTGCTAGCGCGAGACATTGCGAAATAGTGCGCCTTTTCTGGCAGCGGTGCATCGATATCTGTTGGGCTGCAAATGGTGTAAATGCTGGCGATGCGGAATGAGGGAGCAGCGAAAAAGACGCTAATCGCGGGTTGAGGATCGGACGGGAACTGCTGGCACAGACGAACCTCAAGTGGGAGAAAGAACGTGTTCGTTCCGTTGAAACATATTTTACGCATGAACGTAATTTCTTAAGCAAAGTACAATGAAGGTTTTCAGGTACCCCATGTACCTCTATTACCTGTTGGCCCATTTCTCGATGCGTTGTCGTCTTAGTACTAAACACTGTGATGTCACTTAAACCTGGCGCGCTCAAGCCTGTCGCCTAGTAACGGTTTCTAGAAAGGAAACATTTCGCGATGCTGTACTGTCATGCGGCTCAGCCACCCAAAGCTCTTTTGGAAACTTCACTGAAGTTTGAATATCACCGCGTGGTGTCTGGCTGAACTTTGACGTACATGGATCATGAAATCGAGGTGTTAGGATTGCGACGTGTGGATGCTTGGAAAGAAACCTGATGTTTTTTTAACGCAAGCCACTACTTGAGACAAACAATACAGGAAGACAGGCGGCGGCGCTCGTTATGACAGAAATGATACTTGAAATCAAGGAATATAATAAAAATGTTATAACCGGGTGTGACAACACCAGTAAAAAGCATAAAATCGAAGACAAATGTACCAAAACACAACGAGGAAGGGCCAAACACGCGTACCTAAAGATACTGGAGTTCAGCAAATGCGCTCAAATCAACAAGCCACCCCTCGGAAAGTTGAAGTGCTGCAACTATGGCAGCCCGTCCACTACAGTGGCGGTTCTGACACGGCTAGTGTGGCAACGGCTCCGATGTTATGCAAACGTTGCGTGACGTAATCAAACATTGAGGTATTAGTAAACATATTTTCTTAACGGTGAAAATACAAGGTATAGTGCAGTTTTTTGCACTTTAAAGCACACCAATAATATGAGCTTATTTCATCACAGCTGGCACTTGTCTTACTTTCTTCAAGTTTGAAGCATTTGAAACGTTTGCATGGAACATTTTCCTTAACTTGTGACCGTATAGATTTTGTGGGCATTAACAACTTTGTCTTGGAATGAACAGCCTGGCTTTGCGTTCTTTTGATGCGATCACAGCTTTGCAGTCGAGTGTCATTGAAGGGTAAAGTTTTTATGAAATAGCCTCTTTATGCAAAATCTACGTAAAATTGAAATGGCCTCATGGTAAAGCATCTAAGTTGCAGCAAATAAATGTTTATTTTAAATTGTTGTCGCGCTACCAAGGTTTTTGTGTATTGTCGTGGATTGCAGGAGAAATCCTTTATTGTCGTTAAGCTCAATACGATTAATTTATTTCTAAGACAAAGGAGTGCAAATTCAAATGAGAACCTCTGGGTACAATACATGATTTAAAAGGAACACCGGGGTGGTTGTGAGACGCTTCCTGTTTATGGGGTACGAACAAATGTACCTCGACATACCTCGCTCAACATACGTCATACATGCCATACCTCGCCGAACATATCAAACTACACCAGTTCTGAGCTATGGATAAATGGATTGTTAGCTGTATAAGCTTGCTATTTTGTTATCCGAACTGTCCCAGCCGATGAAGTGTTACATGAAATTGATCTAATATTGCGTTGATTATGGTAATTGCTTCACGGCTTATGCATTCTTCCAGGTATCTTTATTCGTCACGAGGCACCTTGTTCGTGCCCAGATTGCGCATTCTCGTAGGATACATAACGGCCCAGATCTTTATCGTACAGCTTTGCAAGCATGCACATTGCGTATAATGTGTAATAGCGAGAACAATCGCCATGCAATACATACAAACATGGACATGGCAGCTACGAGCAATATTCGGGGTCATCGCCACTTCAAGATCTGGGAAAAGTAGCATGCAGTCAACGGCAGCCCATAGACGGGCGCAAATTACTGCACTGGAGTTTCCCCAGCCCGCTACTATGCTGCATGAGCTTGGGAAGCTACACATCGAGTTCTGAAGAGAAAGAAATGGTGCACATAGCCTCACGCTAATCCAACGCCTCTTTTGGCGTGCACGCTACCGTGAGCAATAAGATCTGCTCTCCGGTTTCTAGCCCGATATTTACGATTCCCGTCCAACAGTCCACCTCGCGCACCATCCCCAAGAAGGCGAGGAATGTTGCTGCGCGCAGGCCGGCTGCAGCCGACCTCTGGGGACGCCGTAATCCCCGGTGACGGCAGACCTTTAAAGGCGGCGCGGCTCGGAAATCCCGCCGCGTCCCCAGTGGTAGCAACGCCAGCGCCGGCGCGGCCCCACAGCCGGCCGCCATCAGCAATTAGGGCTCCTCTGCCGCAGCCATGTTCGGAGGGAAGGCCGGCGCTTCTCGCGCTGACTCACCGCTGCATCAGTGACCTGAGGTGACCTTTTTTGGTGGTGGTCGGCGCCCCGCCGTCCGACGAGTCCCTTGTGCGCGCTTCACACGGCGCCTGGGTGGCGCCAGCGTGACGGCTCAATTTTGGGAGGCCATGGGTGGAGTCTGCAGCAGGACACCGGTTTGGGCGTCAGTTCGGCCGAGAAACACTCGGACGTTGCCGTCGGCCGTCGTCGGCCGAGAAACACTCTCCATCTGGGACGTTGCCGTCGACATGTCAAGATTGCAAGCATGAAGTAGTCGTTGTCTGCGTGACGCCGTCGACTGCAAGCCTAGATATCAACAGTGCTGCTCTACAATGCCGACAGTCATGCGGTCATAGCCGGCTACGTACACATTCAGATCGTCATTGTCAGTTGGAAGATGCAGAAATGTGCGGTATCACCTAAATCATGGAGAGGAGCCATGCTAGCAATCCGAACAAAATAATTGGCCGAGCAGCTGTACGCCTTGGCTACGAGCTGTTTTGCTCATTCCCAACATAGCCAGCCTTTATTGCGCTCGCCCGTAAGCAATAGTAGGCCCACTAACATCACTCTGCTTGTTTCAGCGACCCCTCAGACCCATCCAGCTGCCTGATGTCGCTGCAGTTCCAAAGCCTCGGCTGCGTGGCGTCAGACAGCAAGCAGCACTTCTACCGCACGCAGGACGGCCACGAGCGGGCCCTGCTCAGCATCGGCCGCTGCTCGTGCCACTGAACAGCACCAGGACCCATCCAGGGGCTCGCTCGTGCCACTGAACAACACCCGGACCCATCCAGGGGCTCGCTCGTGCCACTGAACAGCACCCGGACCCATCCAGGGGCTCGCTCGTGCCACTGGACAGCACCCGGACTCATCCAGGGGACTCGCTCCGGCCGACAGCAGCGTCCAGCCGCGTACCCGGCCGCTTAGGAGGCAGCGCTGGGCAACCAGGCACGCGTGCGGTGGCGGCCGGGCGACAGCCGATGCTTTGGCACGGCTCGTTTGGCTTATTTGCTTGCATCTCGAGCCCGCATGGCTTGTGGCGATCGTGCGTTTAGTTCATGCAGGCTGAGCGCATATAGAGGATGTCATCGGCTAGGTATGGCTTGTTTTCGTATGCGTGAGATTCAAGAACATTGCAGGTGTTTGTTACAGCTATTCTGTCCTGCCCAGCTTGCGTGCATGTGTGTGGCTAGTTGGATGATGAGGGAGTACCTGCTGGGAGTGGTCGCCTGACAACCCCAGTGTGAGCGGATGCACGTCGTACTATAGCTCGTTGTGTGAACTGACTCCTGACGGGCGCAAGAGAATTGTTAGGATTCCCGTTTGTGATACGCTACTTTTCCGAAGCACTTAGCCAAACTTGGTGTCTAAGTCGCCTCCATCGCGTTAAATGTAAGATGATTATTGGTAGTATTTCCTACTAAGCAGGTAGTACGTTAGTTAAGTGAGTGTAGTTCTCTTTTTGCTGTCTGGCATGCCTAGACAAACACGTGTGCCTGTGTCGCTAGGCCTTTACCGGAGCGCACCAGATAGTAAATTCAGCTGAAATGATTTCTCTGTTTACTTGTAAAAAATCGAGCAGCGTGCCGCACATATTCATGTATCGGGAACTGTGCCACTGCACCAGCTGGTTCATCAGATCAAAATAGCGGCTTTCAGCTGGTAAAGTACTTAAATGTGAATAAAGGCGCCCAACCGTACTTGTGGCTCTCATAATTACGGATGGTCGGTGTTGTCAGCTGTTCGTCAAGCTCTTATGCATCTCGACGTCTAAATATCATCGGTGGCGACAAGAACTTGAAGCTAGTGGCCCTGAATTTAAACTATATGGTGCGGTGGGTATGGCGACAGACTTGTGAAACATGAATGTGATACATATGTACACTGGTGCATTTGCCCAAATGGATCTTTAAAAAATGGGCAATAGTTTGTGCTTGCTTGGAACCGACGGCAGCGAAAGGTCCTGTTCAATGTTGTTCCGTTTTCTATATCGACGTTTTATTTGTCTTTTATAAACATTTAAAGCATGGTTGGCCTATGGTTAATTGCCAGTAAGTCGTTTATAGTGATGGGCAGCTCTAACAAAAGCAGGACAATTAGCAGGTGCTTCGGTGTTTTCACGACAGCCTTTTCGGAGGGCTCTGAACGGCTCCGTAACGTTCTGTAACGTTATGTACGGCTCCGTTTTGGTAAACGGCTCCGTTACAGCACTAAAGTGTGTTTATGGCTGAGATGTCCACTGATCATCCTGCTGTTATTAGAGTAGCTCAGCACATACGTTATGCAGGCCAACAATGGTCAGAAGACCCTAAAAAAATGTCATATACCATCATCCAGCGGGCCCTCCGAGAACCCAATCAGAATCTGGCTTAGTTTGAAATATTGGTTCAGCTTACGTAAGCAGAATATAAAACTCTTTATGGAGTCGCGATAGGTAGCCACAAAATGTTCCTATTAATTAGTAGGTACTTTAATTACCTTCCATTAAGCTTCAAGGCTGAGACATCCCCCATACTCGTATAACCTAGTACACGGCAGCAAACAGTTCTCACAGCTTGCTGCTGTAGTACCATGGATGAAAGGTCAAAAAAAAAAATCCTTGCAACGAAAATACGTTTCTCAGTAAAAAAAACAAACTACCATCATTTGATTGGGAAGCAATGTGGGGTGCATCCCACCCCATGTATAAAGTTGCCGCTTTTGAATTAGAACAAGCGTTAAGGATTACGCCAGCCGGTATGCAGAGGTAGAAAAGTGTCTTTTCTGTCATTGACAAAATTTTGAGCCGTCTCACTTGTCACCAGGAGCCAAATCTGTCAGAAATTGTCGCAATATAACTCTAAACGCGATGAACAGCAAAAACGAAAACGATTGAATTGAAATGCGTCATAACCATCGAACGTTTTCGTTTCGGGCGTTTCATTTGCACTGAAGCATTATTTGCTGGCCATCAGACATCGCATGCTGGTCAAGACCAAGATAGTAAGCTTACAAATAAAGTAATACTTAATTAGTATAACATAACGAGCCTAGAGGCGTGTAGTTTCCTATTCATTTGGGGAGGGGGAATTGTGCCTCCTATCCATTGATGTAGATTCCTATTTTAGGTATCATTCTTTCATTAATCAGTTTTTTTCATCATCATTCTTTGGGTTTCAGCCCCCCCCCCCATCCTAAGTTTGAGAACCTACACCCCTGCTCCAACCTCGGAAAAGAAAGCGGATCAATCTGGGGAAAACCTTTTAAGTGCATTTCGGAGGCCGGCTTAGCCATTTTCTTTCATGCGCTGCTCCTCCCTTACCTCTACGCATTTTGCAAAAATGCTTCCCTAAAGTCGTGTATTTACTGATAACATGGTTTTACAAGCACTCAAAAACAATATCACTTTGAGTTTTGTGACGCCATCGTACAATAAGGTGGAAGCGTTGGCGACCTTCATTATCTTTGCTTAATTATTTCCAGTGCAAAACTCGCACTTCCTGAAATGATTCAGGAAGTTCGTGTGAAACCCACACAATGTGGTATTAACAGAAACAAATACAATTTTTGAAAACTTCTACCACCTCCTACTTAGCTCTGTATACAATAAAGTAACCATTTAAAACGTTTTATCTCACGTCTGTCCACCAGCCAGTATGTTAAGCCTGAGGCACGAGGGCGGTGTGTGAAGCCTTTACCAGCGATGTTTGAAATCTTACCTCAAAGCCGCTGTTTCCCTTAGCAGCAGAAAACCACAGATGAATCATTGACATGTGTCACTCCAACGTTCTCCGTTGACATCCGAAGCTGCAGTTCGGGTATCCACAAACAACGAGTCACCGAGATCGGCAGGGCTTTTTAACGCTAGTACCATAGACGTCTCCACAGTAGAGCTTTCGAAAAGCCGCACAGCGCCTTAAAAAAAAAGACAGACAATGTTTCCAGCCAATCAGCTTCTCACGACAGAACACAACCAATGGTCGTTCATAACCTTGCACTTAACCGCGATCTACGGCCTGAACGGGCGGGCGGGCGGCAACCGACAATGCCGCGGAACGCGCTCGGCGGACCGACGTTGTTATATTGATGACGTCACATATCATCAATGCATGCCTAACATGCAACATGCACACAAGAAAATATACAGCATTGGTGCCAGTTTCACGTAAAAACTGAAACTGGCACCAGTCGTAAGATCTCGTTGAGACCAATCCATTGCTGTGTTTTGCTAAACTCTATCTGCATCAGGCTGAAAATGCCAAGGTTCATGGCCTAACACGGTACAGTTCACTACACCAGCGGCTGGCGCGGTAACCTACTTTTCTCCGTAACTCTTGGCTTGAGAGGGGCATCTATTCCAATACAGATGTAGCAACTCGCATCACCAGACATTTCAAAACTGTTACATGTGAAGTAGGATTTGCCATCCATGACGACATCCCTGCCGTGAACTTTGGACATTAATTCCCATGATAGGCTCCGAGTCTTTGTTATCTGGTGGTTTGCTTGAGTACCCGGACCTGGTATGCTTGCCCCCTGCTCCCAGAGCACCTTATTTGCATGTGACTGCACTATGCGGAATCGTCTTGGCAGAGGAAGTAGGGTAGAGGAGGTATCCCGAGAGCATGGGACGAAGCTTAAGTCACGAAACTTCAGGCAGGCCAAAATAGGACAAAGATTTGGAGCCTGCCCTGGAAAGCAATGTCCAAAGGACATGGCAGGGATGCTATAACAAATGCCAAATCTTTCTCCATGCATAAGTGTCAAAATGTATGGTAACGTGGGTTACTGTGCGAATGCTGAAGGAGAGGCCCCCTCTGAAGTAAGCGCTTTGGAGGACGATAGGTTTCCGCACAGGCCGCTGAAACCTACCTTTTCCGTTGGGGAGCCGCAGGAACAACGCATCTCTCCTACCAGTGGTCCCACAGGGCTGTCAGCCCGACGGGACCGTTCAGCCACTGACCGTGCCCAGCAGGAACAATATTCATGGCACATCGTTCCACGGCAATTATCTGAAAAAATTCTACTGCCATTTTCTTCTTTATAAATTCGATCCGAACCCTTTGAATGGATGGATTTCGGGTATCAGCGCGCACGCTAAGCAGTGCTTGTTGCGTGAGCCCTGACCCCCACAATCAGATTGCGCAATTCCAGGCAACGGCAGAATTTAGTGGCGAAAGCTTTACGTGCCGCAATGCTCGGCACGATCCGTCCTGCCCTCTGACGTCAACTAACCTTTAGCGCAACCGCTGCCACCGGCCGCAGGCCATACCTGCCAACGGCAAATAGCGAGCGCCTTAAAGCGACTCGAACCCAACCTGCCATGGGTGGATGGATCGGAATACGGGCACTTTAACCAACTGATCCACCGGGACGAACTAAATGCCTCCACCATCTTGCAAGCCATCCTGCTATTCTTGCAAGTTCACCACCTCCACGATCAGTCCACCTTCTGGCCAGATCTCGTGAGCTCATGTTGCGTGCGTGAGACCCTACCATTGCTGGAGGAGGCCGATGTACCCATCGCACGCGACGTGGACCCTTCCTCTTCGTCCCAGCTTCACTCGTTACATGACGTGTGCTAGCCCATCGAGAAAAGAAATGTACCTGCTGGACTGGTGGACTCGCTCTCACAGCCAGTTCCGGAATAGAATCAGCGGAACAATTCGCTAAGTCGAGGCGGAAAAAGTGCTCGAAAAATGATGGTGGATGCATTTACAGGTATGCACGCCCTGATGACATAAAAATGTAAACCAAGAACCACTGAACGCATCGAGCACACCAGGGTATCTATAAAATGTAGTTCTATGGCGCAGAACATCAGCTAAATTAGGGCTCAGGTTCTGACCAAGAATAAAATGATCACCCGTTATACATTGCGAATATATCGGATCTCATCGCATGTCCCGAGCTGCTGTTACGTAAACTTAAATATTTTGATGAACGATTGAGCCGAGCTTTTCTTACGGATGGTATGATTCATAAGAATGTCGTTCTCGTCGTGATGCTTTATTTCCCACACAATGTCTCGACCTCCTCGGCAGGGGTCACCAAGTTCTGAACATCATCTCACCATCACGTCATCGTACTTGCACAACATTGATTGCGAACCAATTGACGACCACTATATCTGGAAATCGTGTTCACGAACCACGAGGGCCAGGTATGAGAAACTAGACAATGATATATTTCTGCCTTGATCGCCGCATGGTTAAAGGGAACGCAAAATTTGAATTCTGTTATTGCAACGTCATCGATGTCTTGGCGACCTTGAAATAGTCTCTCCGAAAAAGTTTGCACATCTTCGCGTGCCTGTAGCACAAAAACTAGAGTGATTTAGGTCTTAAGAACGGCAGGGCTGTGAAAAGCACCGAATGATCTTCAAGATGGCTATTTCAGCTCAAAACCCCATGGAAAGATTAGGCACTTCCTTTAATATGGTGAAGGGTAGCGGACCTTCAATCAATAAAAGTAAAGCAAAGAGCAGCTTCACAGCTAACATTGCGCCGTACTAAACCATGTGAACAGCGTGCGCCGACGACGCTAAGCTGTTTGAGCACATTGGCTTCCTGGCTGACTGGCGAACACTACAGCAGGACACAAACAACATTTCTGACGGCTCATGTGCCCCTCATTTTAAGCTGTTTTTACCAAAATGTAACGTCACTCCTTGGAATTCCCTTGTCACGACGCTGCATATGCGTTAGACAGTGCCATTTTGGAAGACCGCGGACGTGTCGGACTGAGAAATCGTGGGGAAAAATGCAATTTAAGAAAGATCAATGAGCAAGTTGAAATTCAAGCTCACTTATGCCAGCGATGGGAGCGCGACAGTTTGCAGATAAAGACGAATTCCGGTTCTTATTAGCTACGGCAAACCAAGTTCTACCTGTTCCGCCCAAGATGAGCACACCGCAGCCATGCAACCTGCATTCGCATGTTGTATGCGTATGTTAGCACGCATCATGTGGAAGCGGCTCCGACTATTGGCAGTCCAAACACATTATGGGTGGCTTGAGAACACCCGCATGACCCCTTAAATGAAGACTCT